TAATTAAAAATAACACCGTCAGTAAAAACGAAAAGGGCTTCAAGTATACATACACGGTAAACATGATGCCTTATTGTTGTTAGAGAACGGAAAAACTTACATAATTTTGAGGTAAACTCTCAGATTTTGAATAAAATCTCACCAAAAGTTGTGGTATATCTTTTAACGACATACCCTCTAAATCTCTTGAAAACCACTCAAAAGTTTCCAAATAAGACATTGTTTTACCGTGTAACCTACAGGCAAAGAAAGTCAAACAGCAAGTTTTTTTCCCTCCTGCGCACGCTTGCAGTGCAGGCTATGGTCGTGGACAGTCTTGATAACATGCCAGGGGGGTCGCGTGCCCGAGAGCCCCGGCTCATGAGGAGTAAGTAGTCTTTTCCTGCCGTCCTGCCGCTTGCCCCTCCGTGCCGCCTGGCAGCCGACGGGCAGAGCGTCGTCGTCACAGGACTGGCGCGACACGACGGCTCTGATCTGCGCAGTCGATAGCTACGCTGCTGGGCCGCGCGACCCCTCCGCGCGCCCTCAGAGTAAAATATAACAAATGGTCGGCGGGCAGCAGCGATCGAGAGTCTGTCGGCGGGAGGTACCCTGGAGGTACCGAGGCGGCCTCGGCACAGCGTCATGAGAGCGGCGAGGCGAGCACGCCGAAGGAATGTTTCACCAATCATTAACTAATTGGAGTGACAGATCGCCGGCAGTGATGCGGCCGAAGCAAAAGGCGATGCACCGCCGCGTTCGATCGCTCCGAAAGGTGAAACGAAGAGGGTAAAAAATTATTGAGAAGAAGGGAAGCTTTTGTAAATATATATAAATTACGGTGCGTTTGGCTCTCTGGGCACTGATTGACAGCCGCCTGACTGGTGTCGGGGCAGCGAGCTGCAGCGGGCGCTATGGTCAGTTATTCGAACAGATTGGCGGGTGAGTGACATCGGGATGCACAATGCACATTGTAACGCGCCAAACGGACGGACGGACGGCCTCGTTGCTGCGACTGCGAAAAAGTACAACAAGAGGAAGGTGGAAAAAAACACAACTTTAACAAGTGGCTGTTGCTTTTAGCTTTGGATACGGAACGCAAGGTGCGCTGTGACGGCTGAGCGAAAATCGAGTCGCTCCTAATTTGTCTGCTGCACTTTGGTCCTTCCCCTTCGAACCGAAGGGACGACACTTTCCCCAGAAAAAGGAAACTCTGATTGAAAGTTCAGACTTGCGATCGACCGGCGGTAGGGTCGACGAGACTGCAAGGCGAAGGGGCGTGGCGTGGCGTCGTAGTCCTCGACAGCTTGGCTGTGCGTGTTCGGCACGCAAGAGAGGTGGCGCACGTTGCAACCGGAAAGATAAAAGCAAAGCGGAGAGTGAGTGTGTGTATTTTAGGAGGGGAGACCTCGTCTTCCCCCGGGACATTTGATATATTGGCAACACTGAGACGACGCAACGGCGAGGGCCCGCCGTCCGCTGCACACCTGCCTGCCGGACTGGAAGGAGGGGGCGAGGGGAGAGGTAGGCTCGGAGGTAGGCGGACTCAATATCGTCTGCGGTCCTTACCAGAGGGGGGGGGGGGGTCTTATGCCTAAGCGCCGCCAGCTGGCCCGTCAGTAGTGTACAACATGAGCTGCATGATGTGGGAGAGGCAGGTGGGAGGCAGAAGGTGCCACAAGGCTCTCCAACAGTACACGGCCGTGCCGCCGGGGTCCTCAAACAAGACCTGGAGTGCATCCGCCCGGCGCACCAAGGTAACGCTCTGTTAAACGCGTCAAGGCCCGGGGTCTCGGCCCGGACCCTACGGCCCCTCCGTCGCAAACAACCGTCCTTACAACCGGCCCGGTAAAGGCAGCAGTAAAATTCATGCCTTTAAGAAATATACTACCCGACCCAGAAAGTACGTCCGCCATTCGCCCTTGCCATGTTTAGCCTCTACAAGCTCTCATGACGCCTGATACGTAGGCAATATCATCCATGCAGTGCATGCGTGTACTGCGGGGCGGCCTATCCCGAGTCTACAGCCACCGAGCTCCTTTAGTTTGCCAAATGAATACGAGAAAAACGAACGCGCTTTCAGGGCAACTCTTGGTGCTCTAATTTCTCTCTTATAGGAAACTTTTGGATTTAGCAACACTGCCAAACGCAAGTAAAAAACAAAACAAAAAAAGAACAGCTCCTGTTCCAAAAGTACGCGGAGTAAATTCGTTTTGAAGTGTAGAATTCCGACAGTTACATTCGCGCGTAAGGCAGGTGGAACACAAGCCACTAGCGCCGCCCGAAGGAATATTTACGGCTAAGAGGGAATTTTTCCACACCGCGACAATCGTGACCACAAAACTGTGCGCGCTTCTCCCGTTGATCTTGGGGCTTTAAGCGACAGGGAAGTCGCGAGCTACTGTGAAAGGATGTGGGAGGGTCAACTTCAGGGACCGACAGAGCAATTAAGTGTTGAGTGCTGCCGACACCAAGTAGCGTTATAACGCCGCAACACTGCACCAGCCCTAAAAAGAGCGGTTGAGGATACTGCGTCCGATTTAAGGCCCTTCTCACTTTCACTCATAACAAGTCCGTGCGACGGGCCCATTGACCCCACTGACCAAGAGAGTCGAGCGCAGCAGCAGGGCTCCAACGCAACTTTTGGAGAGCAACAGTTCTTGGGCAGATAGTTTCTCAGTAAAATTCCTAAAGGTGCCACCTTCTAGCGCGGTCGTCGCCAGGTTTTTCCCAGGCGGTACATGCACTTTACCCGAACCGCCTCCCCCTCTTCACCGCGGCAATTTCGGCCGCAGAGAAGGAAGTAAACAGGATAGAGGACCGTTGTGACTTTAATTCCTAGGCATGCTGCGTTGGGCTCCGGCTGCGCCTGGCCCGGGCGGCCCTCTGGCCTGGGTCACGCTGTGCGGTAGAGAACAACAACAAAGAAGCTAGTTTTGGGTCTTG